AAATTGGTCCAAATTGCAACTTTATTTGCCAATATTCCGCTTTTTTGAAGTGGGATTTTGTGTTTCATCTCGAACCAGCCCATGTTTTTTTCCAAGCTCTGAACGGCTTAAAACGCGTTGTTCTCCAACTCTTGGCCAGACAGAAGAGGTGATCTCAAGTGACAGAATTCAGGTACCATTTGTCTCGTTTTGTCGATTTGTCTCTCGGTAGGTATTGGAATTGCAGTCAGTTTCTTCACTCTCCATGCAACGGCCCAAATGGTCGCTCAGGCATGCCAACCGTCGCCACATGAACACCATTTTATGGGTTAATTTATCGGTCTCGGTCGCTACAGCGAGACGACCCGACAATCTGGAACACGCACAGCAACAAGGCATGGACAATAAAACCGTTCACCCTCTGGCCAGTCGGGACTTGACGTGCCCGAAACCGCTTTCTTCTTTTAAGGCAAGAGAGAGAGAGAGATAGAGAGAGAGAAGGAGTGAGAGAGGTTGACCAGTCTCAAGTCTCGGGTCAAACTTTCCTTCAACACACGATCAGCTGATCTGATGTTGTGCAGGTAAACGGGCCAAGATTGATATCAAAACCAATGGATTGCCGAGAAATCCCCTTTTTCACCAGTCGTTAAGGGGCCAACGCTTTGGCAAAACTTCTCTCCTTACCTCGTACCTGCTGTTCAAGAGAGGCCAATCTCTGAGGCTGAATATATATATAATAAATATAAATAAATAAATAAGAAGATGAGCTCGGTTTCGAAGAATCTCCAAGTACAGTAATTCCCAAAATAAGACTCGTGTATCTTCATTATTTTTAATTACTGTATTAACATTAAATTAATATTTAATAATTAATGTGATGGATGAGCCTGCAAATCTCTGCACATTTTCTCGAATCGTTCAATTAATCTGTATACATGTTGATTTTTGCTCTCTACTTGGTTTTTATTTCAGCGACCGCCAAAAAGCCAGCTTCACAAAAATACGACGTCGAAAATGGAATTGGAATCAGTTGAGCCTCATTCAGCTTTTATTGAAATGCAGATTTCTGTAAATTCCATGCTGCCAAATTTTGCTTTCAAACTATTTCGAAAGATAACTCGATAAGAATATCTTCTTCTACAGAAGTAATTCGGATGGAACACTAGCGCTAAATGGATCTTGAATCCATTCCAACTTATCGAAATTTTCATTTTGTACATATTTTACAAACCAATTAATTAGCTGTGATAAGTGCTCCTCAAACATATTTTTTATATCTCAAGAAATATCATGTTTATTTGACGGAAAAAATTGCTGTAATATTGAAAAACAATGTCTAAAGCAGCCGGTAGAATGAGTTATTCTGCGATGGTATGATGCTTCTTACATTTCGCGATTCTGTAGGCCACCTTGTGAGCTGTTAACAACGCGTTGTTTGGTATCGATGCAGTTTTGAAAAGTTTATTTTTTTGTTGTTTCACTTCTTTTAAC